CGTGCGGGTGAGGCCGTCCGTTTGTCACGTGACCGACGTAGGCTCCCAACCCGGAAGTTGCACGGACCTTCCGTTGCTAGGCAACTGGACCGACTCTGAGGCGGAAAGGGGTCCTAGCGGGTTTGCACTGGCAGAACTGGGGGGCATTTGGAGCTCCATAGTTCGCCGAGCACCCTGAGGGGCCCCAACCACGCCTTCGGGTTGTGAGACGGGAGTCTGGGGCCGGGCCGGATGGGGAGCTTGGAAAGGTGAAGCAAAGGAGAAGAATCCGGGAGGACAGGGCCCCTGTGACCTAAGATAGATGCCCAGAAAGGGAGAGGAGAAGCCTGGGCGTCCGTTCGTAGGTATGAAGGCAGGATGCCCGCCCGCCTCTGGAGGGGACGGCGTGGAAAGGCGCCTGGCTCTCACTGGGTGAACTTCTCTTTCGATCAGTGCTGCCCCGCCCCCAATGGATCAATACTGCATCTTGGGTCGTATAGGAGAGGGTGCCCATGGCATTGTCTTCAAGGCCAAACACGTGGAGGTGAGCCCTGGGCCCTGCCACCATGGGTGGGAGGAACCTTTTACATTCTGGACTTTATCATCTGAGCTGGTTTGTTTTCTAATCCTTTTCAATATGTTATTTGTGAGATCTAGCCAGGTTTCGGGCGGGATGTGTGCAACTGATGCCACACTTCTGTGAAGTGAAGCCAACCACAGTTTGCTGGGAGCCTGGTTCTGCCAGTTCCCCTCCTCTCAAGCTTGGTTACCTCAGGCTGTCCCAGGCTCGATTTCCTTCCTTGCTGCCAAATTGCGCTGTGAACTTCATTTCATCCCCACGAAGAGTGTTTCAAGCGACTGTTAACCCAGATGGCTCCTTCATCTTTCTCTTACCCGCCACCCCAGATGAGCGTGGGATGGGAGTGTCACATTCTCTCCTATACAGACTGGGGAGATAGTTGCCCTCAAGAAGGTAGCCCTGAGGCGGCTGGAGGATGGCATCCCCAACCAGGCCCTGCGGGAAATCAAGGCTCTTCAGGAGATCGAAGACAATCAGTATGTAAGTTGGAGGCTAGGCTAGGCTAGGAGACATCACATTCTTCCTCTCCTTAATTCATGCCCTTTCCCTCTCCCAAACCCTTTCCCTCTCCACTTCTCTCCTGCCTTCATTTAGCCACCTAAGCTTGCTTGTGATAGAGGGGATGAAAGAGTTAACCCACTGTTAATCAAGTATAAAAAATGTAGCATCCACAATGTAATAGTTTTAACTAAGGAAGGTGGCTAGCAAGGCCATTTAGTAAGCAATATTGCCTGAGACCTCAGGGGGTAGTGGTCAGACAGCCTCTGGAGAACTGGAGAGATATCTGGTCACCCTCTGGGGGAAATAGAGATTATTTCCTGTGACCCCTGTTTCCTTTCTCACATTGTTTTCGGTCCACTGATTATTGTCAAAACCTGCTAGTGTCCCCCCACCCCCAGCCTGTCACATGGCATAAGATTTGAAGCAGTTTGGAGCTAGCCAACCCCACGGTTTCCTTCTGTCTAGCGCTTGCAGGAATAAATTTAGAGTTTCTCGAATCAACCTGTTCTCTATCTTTAGCTGAAATGGTGACAGGTGTTCCTGGACCCTTATTTCCTGACAACACTCACTCTCAAAAGTTCACTCCCTCTGCCATTTGCCCATCTTGCTCACTCATTTACTTTCTTACCCCCAAATTTGCTTCCTCTTTTGTCCTCTGGTTCACCTTCCCTCACTGAAATACTTGTCACTGATTCATTCTCTCAGTTACCCACTTATAAGTCTCCGTGTATTCATTCATCTCCATATATTCATTCATTCATTATTTCATTCTCATACCATTTAGTGATGGCTAATAAATATTATAACTATTTTATAATATAATAAAAACTATATAACTACAAATATTATAACTATGAGCTCAACCATTTGTTGCACTCATAATATATTCTACAGCTCGGGTTAGATGGTCTCCATACATTACTGTACCAAAGCCCCTTCACTACCCTGCAAGGCAGGCTTCAGGAGCTGTTTCTCAGAGCAGGGGAGGAAGAGGTTAAACCACCAGAGCTCATGGGTGTTCAGCAGGTCAGTTTGAGGAATTCATCCACAAACTTTGGGCCTGGCGACACTGAGAGGAACCAGCCCTGGCCTGGCTTCTTAGAACTTAAGTGTGGTACGGGAGACAGGCAATAGGGCCTATCTGGTATGGCTTGTGCTGCGACAGGGGACTTGGGGGGTCTGTGGGAACATGAGGAGGGATATCTTTTACCTTCAGCCCTTTGGCATTATTGCTGTTTTTGGTGCTTCCTCTTGTCCATGTCAGGGGTAGAAAGAGTAACAAGGTTGAGTATGATATTCTTATTTATGTTCATTGTCTTATAGAGAGAGCCCTAATCTATGACAAAAGCATGTTATAAAACTGTTGTTGAATTTTATACATGTAAATGTGTACCTATGTGTACCATCACCATGTTGTAAAATTTGGGAGACATTTTAAAATTGATGATGAGTAGTAGGTTTTTTTCCTTTTCTCATTTTCTTTCTTAGTAATTTTAAAGAAAAATCCATGACTGTATCTTTGTAGTCTGATCTAGAATGAATGTGTATTACCCTTAAAATAAGAAAAATCAAAACATCAAGAAGCCTATTTTCATTTTGCAAGGAAAATAAAAGAACTTTCAGGCAATTGTCTGTGGGATAAATGGAGAGAGACCCTGAGGAGACCGGTGACATGGTTTCCATGCCCATTAATCAGCAATCCTGAAGTTTCTATCTGTCCAGCCGTCCAATCTCTCATTGCCGCCTCTGCCTCTGCTCTGCCACCACCATCCAAGGGATCAAATAATCACTCCTTGCTTAGAAAGCCCCAATTCCACACTTAGAGCATATCAGAATCTGCTCGTACGCACCTTCCTTTTCATTCATTCAGTGGGATCTCTCGAGTGTTTGAGAGTACAGGACAAAAAAGATCTTTATCCTTATAGTCTTGAGTCTTTAGCCTCCTTTCTGTGTCTGCTTTGGTGCTGTTTTTCCTGCCCCTAACTCCTCTCCAGAACTCTGAATAACTGGCTCCTCTGGTTGACTTTCCAAAGAGGTCTTTCCTGGCTACACTCCATTTAAGATTGTCTTCCACTCACTCAAAAATCACACCACCCTCTCCTGTTGCCATCTTTGAACGTGTAAATCAAATATCTGGTTCATTTGTCTCCCTGTTAGTTGCAATAAAAGGTTCTTCGGAACCTGCTGGTCCATGTCCCCTTGGCTCTGTGCAGCTCCTGGCATCTCTGACACTGGTGGGCCATCAGTGAGTATTTGTGATGGTCTCACTGGAGACATTGTCCTTCCTTGTTGCTGGAACTGAAGGGCTATTGAGAAAGCAGGGGAGACCCAGTGCTGGTTAAGTGTGTAGATGGTTTTCTAGCAGGTACCTTGAGTTGGAGGAGCAGACCTTAGATCTCCTTTTCCTTGGCGAGGGTGCTTAGGTGAGTGCTACAGCTCTTAGGTTCTGAGCTCAGGTCCCAGTTTACATCTTTGCCTGTCTGGTTCTTCATCCTGGCAAGAGCTGAAGGTCCCAGGGGATTTCTGGAGAGGGTCTGGGCTGTAATAGCTGGTGGACTGATGGATGCTTTACTCCACTGGTCCCATAGGTGGTGCAGCTGAAGGCTGTGTTTCCGCATGGTGCTGGCTTTGTGCTGGCCTTTGAGTTCATGCTGTCTGATCTGGCTGAGGTGGTACGCCATACCCAGAGGCCATTGGCTCAGGCCCAGGTCAAGAGCTATCTCCAGATGCTGCTCAAGGGTGTCGCCTTCTGCCATGCCAACAACATTGTACATAGGGTGAGTCCAGGAACCAGGGGTTAGGGTGGAGTGGTGTAAGACTCTCGGGCCAGCTTTACCGGGTTGAGGATAGGGCAGCTAGCTCATGAAGAAAGCATGGGCAGAGGCTAGGCAGAACTGCAGGTAAGCAGTGAGGGGTGTGTCCTGGTAACAATCAGAGTCATATAGCTTGTGGCCTTGTGACCTGGGTACCCAACTTGCCAAACCCTCCTGAACCCAGATCCTTTGGGAACTCTGGAGAGACTGATGCCTCCTGTGCCACCTTCAGGACTTGAAACCAGCCAACCTGCTTATCAGTGCCTCGGGCCAGCTCAAGATAGCAGACTTTGGACTTGCACGGGTCTTCTCCCCAGATGGCAGCCGCCTCTATACCCACCAGGTGGCCACCAGGTAGGAAGGGTCAATTCCTGGGCAAGACCTGAGCACACTCTCCCACAGAGAAAATAAACTAAGTGAACCTTGTGCCAGGCATTGTGGGAGTCCTGGGTGATTTTTCAGGGGAACCTCCTGGCAGGCTAGTGACTCAACAGTAACCACAACTTCTATTTGACTTCCACCTTACAGATGGTACCGAGCCCCTGAACTCCTGTATGGTGCACGCCAGTATGACCAAGGTGTTGACCTCTGGTGAGACTCTTGTGGGGTGGGCAGGGGTAATGTGTACCTTGAAATATTTGCTTTCATAGACTTTGAGGTCTCCTAGCTGTCAGGTGGTCTTTTCCTTTGTGTGAACTCTAGGTTGTCTTAGGGAGCCTCCTCCACGATTGTGTTTTCTGAAAGCTTGGGCTCAGTGTTCTGTTTCTGTGCTGGGTGGAAGTTCACAGGTGGGATCAGGTGTATTTGTGCCATGTGTGTGAAGCTTCTTAGTTGGGATGGGAAGCTGGTGTGAAACCCAAGAAGGTGTGGAGTGCCTAAGCTGATACACAGAGTTAAGAGGTGGAGGGGTTTTATCCCAGGATGTGATGCTCTAAGATAACCGAGGCCGATGTCACTGCGTGTTAAGTCTCTGACCCTTTTTGGAGGTTACTTGTGCCCAAAGGCTTTAGATCTTTGAGTTGTTGTAGAGGCCTGCCCCAGAATGCAAGGGGCATCTCTATGTCCCAGAATAAGCTTCTGAAAAAAGTCTTAGAAGCGTTAAGTTTACTGTGTATTTTAGAGTTGGTGTCTCAGAGCTGTTTGGGGGTCCATATTCTTGGATATGGAGCCTTTGGGTGGGTTTGTAGGGGTCTTAATCCAGAGTATGAGGTATTCAAGCTGGTGTGGGAGTAGATCCTGTGTTCCTTGGTGTGATGTCTGTAAACTATTTGGGATTTTTGTTCACAGGGCCGTGGGCTGCATCATGGGAGAACTGCTGAATGGGTCTCCTCTGTTCCCTGGTGAAAATGACATAGAGCAACTTTGTTGTGTGCTTCGTATCTTGGGCACTCCGAGCCCTCAAGTGTGGCCGGTATGAAGGGCCCCATGTGGGGTGGGGCTGGGGCAGCCTTACTCCCATGTCCCCTAACAGGAAGTGACTGTTCCCTTCTGGATCCTTCTCTGCTACTTCCTTACAGCCAAATATTCCCTTGACCTGACAGGGACCACCCTTTGCCGACCAGTGTGCTCTTTCCTCCCACTCCTCTGGCCACAGGAGGAGGGCAGGCAGATTTTGTTCTTTGTCTCTTTCCCCACGCACCCCCGACTAGTACACAGTATTCACTGTGTCTCATCAGGGGTGCCTGGGCTGGTGGGTACCTGAGAGGGTGAGTAGATGAACGCCTGAATGAGTGATAGAAGTGGAGTGAGAGACCGAGGAATATGTGTGTGAGAGAATGGTGAGTGAGTGAGTGATGGAGACAGATTGACAGACCAGGGAACAAAAGTAGATGAGCCAACAGATGTATGATCGAGAGAGTGGTGAACGAGTGGCAGGGGAAACTGACAGCATTGTGAACTGGTGAGGTTGGTACCTCACTCTGATGGCCTCTTCCCCCTGCAACCCAGGAGATCACTGAGCTGCCTGACTACAACAAGATCTCCTTTAAGGAGCAGTCACCTGAGCCCCTGGAAGAGGTGCTGCCTGATGCCTCTCCTCAAGCCTTGGACCTGCTGGGGAAGTTCCTACTCTACCCTCCTCGACAACGCATCATGGCCTCCCAGGTAGGTCAGGAACCTATGGTTTATACCCCTTCAGTTTCTCCCATTGCCCTGAGAAACCAGTAAATGTTACTCAGACTATGAGATGGACTGGGACCAGAACCCAGGCACCAGAGATGTCTCCACTATAGCCCTGGGTCCAGACATGAAACAGATGTGGCTCTCCAGGAGTGAGCCTGTTGGACATTCCCAGCATTCCCCAGAGGGGCCATAGGAGCACAACGTGATCCACTGGGGAGGAAATCACCTGACAGAGGAGCACAGGCCCAGGGAGGTGGTTTGGGGGAATCTTAGACCATATGCAAAGGCACAGTGACTGAATGCTATTGATGACTCATCCCATCATTTCTTCAACAAATATTTACTGAGTATCTGGCATGTGCCAGTCTTGTCCTGGGCCTGAGCCAAAACTAGTGAACAAGTGTGTTAGTCCAGGTAGACTAGAGAAACAAATTCATAGACACTCATATGTAAGAGAGAACTTTATATTAAAGAGCAATTGTACATTAAGAAAACATCCCAGCCCAGTTCCAGATCAAGTCCATAAGTCCAATATTATCCCATATGTCAATACTAGTTCATAAATTCCTCTTTAGACTCATGCAGCCATGATCACAGGCCAGTGGGCGGAAAGTCTTGTGGATCTGGTGGTGGTGGAAACGCTGCTGGCATGGGTTTCCACGTGGCTCCTCCAGTTCCAGGGCTCTGGCTGCATCAGTGTAGTTCCATGTGCCTTGTCAGCAGGAAGACAAAGCAGAGAGAGTCTCCTACCTCCAGGGAGGAAGACAGGAGTTCCCAGAATCCTCAAGAGAAGGCCATGCTCACACAGAGGCCTCATGGTTATGGCCTTATTGACAGACTGGACTCCACCCCTTCACAAGGTTACAGGAGATTATGAAACTACCACAACAAGCATACATGGACCCTGTCTTAGTAGGCTCTCTGGCCTGTGGCAAGGCAGACCCATAAATAATCACAGGAGTGTGGTGTATGTGGCCACATGGCTGTGGGAGCAAGAGAAGGAGAAGAGGCAGGAAGAGCCCGATTTTGAAGATCAAGCAAGGCTTCATGGAGCAGGTCAGGTAAAACACAATGAGCTAAAGAAATGAACTGAAAGTATCTGAGCGGAGAGAAAATAAATGGATCAACAGACAAGCCTGGAAAGCAGGACCCAAGGGAGACTCATTGTAGCCCAAAGACAGGAAAGCAAGGGGAGGAGGGCAGAGGGATAAGGCTGGACAGGCATCAGGGCTTCATTCTCCAGAGAATCTGCCTTTATGCTGATGATCATCCTGCAAACTCATCCCTCCATTAACGATTGAGATCACCTGACTCCTTCTCAGCCTCCTTCCTGCTGCTCCCCTAGTCCAAGTAATTGCCTGCCTGGATTACTGACCCAAATGCCTGTTTCTCCCTTTGCCTCATTTATGTATTCTTTACCTGGTAGGGAGAGCAACCTTACGCGAGCAGATCACGTTGCTCCTCTTCCCAGAGCTCACCCATTGTTCCCATCTTATTCAGTAAAGGCCAAGGTCCTAATATCCAAAAAGAGGCTACGTATTGCCCTGTCAGCTCTGGTCCTGCCTGCTTCCTTCCCCTTTGCTTTATCCTCCGGTCTGAAACAGATCAGCCCCCACCAGCCTGCATGCGCTGATCCCTCTCAGCGTGGCCTTCTCCTCTCTCCGGATTTCCAATCTCTCTACAGTAGTCCTTATTGCCCTAATCATTTCTGACTTACTGAATATTTCACTACTTTATCCGGTCTCCCACAACATTATAAACTTCATAAAAGCAGAGCTTTTTGTCTGTTTTGCTAACTGTTGCATCCCCAGTCACTGGACAGTGCTTCATACATAGCAGCACTCAGTAAATGCTTGTTGAACCAACTGACTGAGTAGAGGAAGGAAGGAAGGAAGGAAGGAAGGAAGGAAGGAAGGAAGGAAGGAAGG